AGGGCTTTCATACTTCATATATGTAGTCCTTGTGACAAGACCTTCCTTTGGTTGTTAACAACTTTGACCCTTTGACCTTGGAGTATGACCTTTTTTGAAAATTTTAACCTTGACCATAACTTTTGAACGGTTGGTGCTAGGGCTTTCATATTTCACATACGTAATCCTTCTGAAAAACCTTCCGATGGATACTAACAACTTTGACCCTTTGACCTTGACCTTGGAGTTTGACCTAGTTTTGGAAAACTTTAACCTTGACCATAACTTCTGAACAGTTGGTGATAGGGCTTTTATACTCCACATGTATAATCCTCATGACAATACCTTTCTTTGGATACAAACAACTTTGACTCTTTGACCTTGACATTGAAGTTTTACCTACTCTCGAAAAACTTTAGCTCTGGTCATAACTTTTGAACGGTTGGTGCTAGGGCTTTCATTTTTCACATTTGTATTTCTTGTTATAAGACCTTTCCTTAGGCAACATTAATTTTGATCATTTAACCTTGACGTTTGACTTACTTTGGAAAAATTTTAACCTTCCCCATATCAATGGTTGCTGCCGGGGCTTTCATATTTCACAGGTATATTCCTCGAGACAAGACCTTATTTTGGGTACCAACATATTTGATTTGCATTTGAGAAAGTTTTAATTAACCTTCGTTACATGTTGCCATACGAGGGCATCAGTGTTTCACAAAAATATTTTGTTTAAAAATAGAAATTGACGTATCTGTAATTTAATTTCTTGATCTATAGTTTCTGTCTGTTAATAAAATAGGAAGTGATTGCATGAACACTCGAGGAGATTAGTGTGTTTAGAGTTGTGGTGTTACTGTACTTCCTGCCAACCGTGGCATTCTCCGACGGAAAAAAAGAGAACGTCATCGGTACATTATTTTTGAAAAATATGCATATTACCATAATCACTGAAAGGTTTTAGAAATCTTGAATATTTCAATGTGAAAAACCACGGTTATTACATTTAAATATGACATCAAATTGGCCAAACAAATTATATAAATGATTCAATACAAAACTCCAACATATCTGCCTGTTATTTGAAATTCCACATTTATTTCATTCGATGTGATGAATGAATGTCCATTCATTCACATCGGATGTCATTACAATACTGTCTTTTTGAATAAAGCTTTGTAATTTTAACAACTGATAGAATACAACTTCCTTTTACAATACAATTCCTGTTCAACGCAAGTTACAGAAGTGCGTATTCCGGAAAATGTTAAACACTGTATACTGCTTCCAAGGAAAATAGTAATAAATACAACTGTGTTCGCCCCAGCAGTACCGTTTAAGTAAATACAAATGGAAATATAACTTTTGCATACTATAGGATGAACATTTTAAATATGAAATTAATATTAGTAGCTTACCAGAAAAAGGAAATCTTTGAACGCAAGTCCAGAATGTTTATTTCTGATCACTTATTTTAAACATATTTTATTGAGTAAATCAATAAGAATTGGGCAGCAGGGAAACCCTATGCACACCCTCTCTTTGTACATGTATAGTAGGTCAAGACACAGACATTGAATAATAATACTTGAATACTTGAACTTGGTAATAAACTTGCTAATAATAAAAAATAAAGATTCATAATCAAGTATTATTCATCAGTATCATAAAAAAAGATGATAGTCCCCGAACTGTATACAAATTATTTACATACTGTTCCAGCTTTAATATAAATATTGTAAAAAAAAATATATACATTCAACAGAGTATTTGATACAGTGTACTGATCACTTCATCCACAAAACAAAAGATAGGTAATCAGAGAATACAGAGCTCACCTCAACGAATGTTGTCTTTAAGTAAGGCAAAGTCCTAAACTAATAATCTAGTAGTGTGCATCCCTAGATGTAACTTTTATGCAAAATTTGGTACGATGGGCTTGCAGTTACTTGGGAATGGACTTACCTAAAAACTTTAAAACTAGTCACTCATTCAGAAAATGACCGTTCACGATAGCTCAGTCGGTAGAGCGCTTGCTCCGTGATCGGGAGGTCGTGAGTTCGAATCTCGGCCGCGACAGACCTAAGTCGATAAAAAATGGGTAGCAACTGTTCCTTCGCCATGCGCTCGGCATGAAGTGAAAGTTGCGGGTCCTTCGGATGAGACCTTAAAAACCGAGGCCCGTGTCACGGCAGGCGTTGGCACGATAAAGATTCCTCACTGCTCAATGGCCCTCAGTGCCGAGTAAAGGTCAAAATTTGAAGCCCATCACCGGTATATGGTGACGTCTCTATATGAGTGAAAAATTCTCGAATGGGACGTTAAACAACATACAATCAATCAATCATTCGGAAAATGTAAGTCATACTGTAAAAGTGGTTATTTACGCGTGGGGAAATTTACACTACTTACGCGCATCCAGCATCTGAACTGAAGTAAATTTGAGAGTGTTAATCCTGTGATGCATCATCCAAGCAAGTTTGGTTGAGAAAGCCCTTACAGTTTATTTTAACTTGGTCACTCATCCGGAAAATGTAGGTCAGATAGAGCATCCGAAGCAAGTCCAGTAGTGTACATCCTTAGATGTATAATCCATGCAAGTTTGGTCAATATAGGGCTTATAGTTACTTGGAAATGGACCTGCTTTAAAAACTTTAACCTGGTCACTCAACCGGAAAATGTAGGTCAGATCCAGCACCCGAAGCAAGTCCAGTAGTATGCATCCTTAGACTGCTCTTACCACGTCCTTACTAACTTTTTTTTAAAGTGTTTGATCAGATTTTTACAGATAATTCGTTTTCTCACAGAACATCCTCGTCTGATACAGAGTCTGTGTCATTCAAATACCGCCTGTGTCATGTACACACACATGCATGACTCGTTTTTCACATATTTCCTCCAGCATTTTCAGAGTTTTTCGGGAGTTTTCCAGAGTACCAAACAAAATTACAGATCGTTAACTGCTGCTCCGTGACGTTCTACGACGTCATCTTTTTTGCCCTTTTCAATGAGGACTGCCTATCTTCTGAAATCGATTTCTTTTCATCAAAGAGAAGTATTAAGGAGGGATTCTTCTCATACATTCATGTATTTCTTGTATTTAAGGTATTCAATGTATAACGACCATATTTTGTACTTAATAAATGAATGGTCCGAAATGATTAATCATGGTAACATTTTGAAGGTGTTATGAAATAAACATATCCCACCAAAGGAATTTACAAAATTTTAACTACTGTCCAATTAATTGCACCTTAAATTTTACATTGACGTCTATGGGCAGCACTTGTTTTATTAAGATATTGTAAAAGGTAATGTGAATTTCATACAAATCTCTTGGGGAAAATATGCATAGACTCTCTTTTTATTAAAATGTGAAATAAAATGAATCATTTACCACAGATATTTTGACAAAATTAAAATTTTCTTCTTTTCATCAAGGGCAGATAACTCTTCAAAAACTTTTCAGGTGCAAAATGATCAGCTTCTTATTTGTTATCAGTCATGTGAATTTGACTCATTTCACTTTCATCGTTATCTAGCAATGTATTTTTAACTAGTTTAAAACGATTCAAAATTGTACAAAATCCCTTCTTTATACATTGAATACCTTAATAATCAATTTTTTTTTTCACAGATTCAAGAAGACATTATCATTAAGTGATGGTATCAATTAGATTAAATTTGACCGTTTTATTTCAAAAGCAAGGTCAGGTCAAGGTCATTATCTTTTTCCTTGACCTTAAGAATATAAAATTACTGTTGCCAATCATGCCATACCTACTTCTATTTCAAATGATTTAATGTTTTTCTTTTTGCATAAAAAGACATTACCATATAAGGACTATAAGTTGATACTACCAAATTGACATAAATTATATAATTTATCTAAAAAAATAGATATTGGCTGATCTGAATTTCCTCTGTTTTTCCTAGATTTTTAGGATATATTAGTTATTTTTATATGCTTCGTATATTTATATTTTTCGTATTTTCACATATGGTAAAGTAGTCATATAAAGATACAAATTTATACAAAAACAAAAAGTTTTGACCGTTTACTAAGAGAGAAAAAACACTTTTTATGGATTTTTTGCTCAAATCTGTATTTAGATTGGAAGCTTTTAAAAGCTAACAAAATTGTAGTTTGTTTGGAAAATCATATTTATTTGATATATCATAAAACTTCAGTCCATTATTATTAATTTTACTAATATTTGAAATTTTCTTAAAGTCTTTGATTGTTTAAAGTTTTTTTAACTAAATTCATTCTCTATGTTCTATAGTAATTTTAGAAGCAGAAAAGGAGATATTTTCATACGCCGCCGTTCCGCCAAAAAAATAGTCCCTGCTAGATTTCAAACTCAGTTTACCATTTCTCTTTAATGTTGTACAATTATGACGAGGAAAGAAAAATATGATCTTTTAAATCCCTTACATCTAAATATAAAAGACATATAAGCAAATATACTTTGAATATTTCATCTAGTCAGAAACCAGACAAGAATCCCTCCTTAAACCATGATATGGAATATGAAACGATGTAACAATTCTTAATTTGAACATCTTGGATTTTTCCGCTTTTGCGCCATTTTACAGAGGATATGACTACAGACATAATTTGATGTATTGTTTGTAATTACAAAATGTTGACCTGCTCCTTGGTCCAATTTTCACAATTTTTAAACTCTAAATAAGTTTTAAATAAATCATGATATTTTAAAATTTTTTAAAACTTGTCATTTGAATTTATTGTTAAGACATTTCTAACAATTTTGAATGTAGTATGACGTCAAGTAAAAAAGTTTTGACAGTAGTCCGCGAACTTTCCGAACAACCCTCGTACACACAAAATCCCACACTATTTCAGAATACTAGGCCACATTGCCATTAACTGGCATTAAGAAGCCTTGAAATGGAAATGCACAAGTTATGCTTGGTTTGTAGATATATGTTCATTAAATAGATCTACAAATGAACATAACATGAGAGGGAAGGTTTACTTATTTATCTTTCCAGCACAAAACATTAGACTTGTAAACGGGTATACAGCTGCGATGGGTAGAGTTGAGATTATGAATAACGGTACGTGGGGAACTGTTTGTGATGACGAGTGGGACGACAATGATGCTGCTGTAGTGTGTTCAATGCTAGGATTTTCAAGGTAAGATTATCCAAATATGATTATCAATCAATCAAATTCAATTACCAATACATGTATTACATAGTTTTGGTTTTCTGAATTGAATAGATACATAACAAAAGAAAAAAAAAAAAAAAAAAAAAAAAAAAAAAAAAAAAAAAAAAAAAAACCGATAATGCATGTTAGTACGAGGATGGATCTAAGCGATTTCATATGGAGGAAAATTTTAAATTTTAATGCAAATATCATTCCATACGCAGATTATTTAAATCGAAAAATAAACATAAGAATTATCTAATGTTTAAGACATACAAGTGGAGCTTTTTCAAAAAGCTTACCGTCTTTAGCAACAACCTTAAACAGTAAACTGACCTAAACCCATCAGGCCGTATAAGTCTTGAAAATTTCTTGGCTTTGTATTTCTTCAATTGTTTTTTTTTCTGACATAAGCCCTACCAAGTGAAAGGTTAACAGATGCACGGCGCGGCTGCTGTCTGCGTAAACTTCGACACTGCTGCCAAGATCATTCGGCAAACCTGTGCTGATTCCTTCACCTTTGTGATATGTAGATGAGGTGCGAATCGGCCGAGTGCGGCCGAGATTAGAAAGGCTGTGCAAAACAAAGGGGAAAAGAATACATACAAGCTGTAAAGCTTGCATGCAATAAAGATCAATTCTGTTAACAATGAAAATATAGGAATGTTTTTTGGTAATTGCTATTAAAAAAACTAGCATGCTATTTCGAATAAATTACTGCCGAATTCCGCTGTTCGTTTTGTCATATTTTTTACGATTGAAAATCTTGAAAAATTGTTAAGTCGTACGAAAATTAAATCATCAGAAAATTATCTCCCTTGCCTTGAAAAGCATTTCAGGCAATGAAATAATTGAAAATTTTCTCATCATGCAATTTCTACCAATCACAAAAGAGTGGAAGTGCATAGTCCGATGACTGTAAAATACTTCAACTCTGCATACCGTCTTTCAAGGAAGACGGTAATGAATATGATAATTTTTTTTAAAAGGGAAAATGCGGTTGCGAAGAAGGAGGCTTTCTTTGGAGCAGGATCTGGAACTATATGGATGGATGAGGTTGAATGTACAGGGACTGAGGTTAATTTATTTCAGTGCCCCAAATCAGAACTTGGTGTACACAATTGTGGCCATAGCGAAGATTCTGGAGTTGTTTGCTCGTTAGGTACGAATAATGACTAGTACGATTCACCAGTACACGTATTAAAATTTTACGTCATTAAAGCATAATTGTTCATTCAAGATCAGAAATTAATAGAGGTTATGTAATCAGTATTGTTGCTCATTCGTTATTTTTCAAATTAATTAAAACCTACAAATAAAACTATCTAGATTGGAATTAAGTATCCATATAAATTACCCATTTTTACATAATCATTATTAAATGAATATAAAAAATAGTTTTCTCAATTTTGTGAGCCAATCATAGTTGATTCGATGCAAACCACATACGTACTTTGTTTACTCTGCACTGACGGCTTCATATGAATCTCTAAGGTAATAGCGAGCGGCGCGAAGAGCCTCTCGTCACTGCGAGTTTTCAAAGCAACGCCTGGACAAAGAGAAAATTCGGAGAAAAGCATATGGATCCAAACGATTTTTTTCCGCAGTAAACCCCGAAACCATAATGCTCCATAATATTGCATATGGCACCGAAACGAATTCTTTCGATAACCAAAGTTTACAAAAATTACATGTAAATAGACTAACCTTGATACAATTGATATTGTTAATAGATGGTAGATTTAACGTTCTTCGTTAAAAAAAAAATAAGGAAGCTCTAAACACTAGCAAAAAGTAATTTTTGGACTTGGAGAAAAATATATCATATAAAGGTGTGCATATTGATACTATTTAATTCATTTTCAACATCGGGTTCCTGCCTTATTTCTTCATGAAAAATGTTCTCAGACAGTGGACTATTCGTGAACAGAAATCACTATTGTCTACGTAAATTGTGGAGAAATAATGGAAATAATGAATTAAATTACTTATTCTTGGTCTAATATAAAGTTAAACATATTTTAATCTTTTACAAATACGTTCTATTTCCATTAGTGAACTCTTCTAAGTTAGAGGCGCATTTGGTCGTCTTACTGGGACAGCATGGCGTTGCGGATAATACAAAACATGCCAATCTCAATCCAATTTTAAATGTTAAATGTATTTGTCATTCCAATATAAGAATAGAAGAACTAAAAGACATATGTAAGAGAGCGAGAACCCTAAATTTATCATCCATTAATAAAAAGTACGACATTTCCAAGGCATGTGTATTGTATTTAGATGTACCATACGATAAATAGATACATACGATCAACAATAGATATAAATTGATATCGTTGTCATTCCTAGTCTTGATGTATATAAAGTCCACAACAATAAAATATTTCATTTGCATTTTCTTAGGAATTGTTCATCGACATTCAACATATTGTTTACATGTTTATGTAACGTTTGTCCCAGAAATCCCGCGAGATTTCTACATTTTCCGACTTTTTCACAAAAGAGCGCACTAAGAAGTATAACTCTTCCATTGTGGAAATAGAACGTATTGTGTAATTAACTGTAAATAACCATTTTTTCTATCTTCAAAGGGCAGATAACTCTAACTGCATAAAAACTACCCTACAAGACTTAGTAGAACTCTAAGTTCAAAGTGAATAGACAAGCTATCAAAACACAACCGCGCTAGCCCCAACGGACGCACCGTCAACATTTTAACACGTTAAGCACTAAGGAGCTTTTTTAATGCATTTACTTTGAGATGCAAACACTTACGTAGTTACACAGTGAATAAACTTATGTTTTCTTTTTATGCGCATTAACTTGGAAAACGGAACTTCGAGCTTTTCTTGTGTAGTAAAGTTTATTTGTTCACTGGTGTTTCGAGTAAGTCTATTTATTGCGTGGACCCTGAGGTCCACGCAGAAAATATATAAGCGAGGTTAAACCGGATGCGATGGTGAACACTCAGATTGCGCTAACACTAGAATGCTAGACAGATCGCCCTTAAGACAACTCGCTCTTTGGAAAATGCACCCCAACCAGTACTATCTGTTGGGATAACTCGCTATATTCAAGACAACTCGCCCTAGCTATTTTACATGATCAAACGCAAAGTTTACATAACTTTTACTTTGAATGATAACGACAATACTGAATTCCTTACGTATATATTTATTAGCATAGTAATCATCACTTATACACACTCATCTTAATTGGTAAATAATAATATTTTTAGTATTTATTCATATAGTATCATAATAGTAGAAATATTTATATGTAACAAGTAAGATGTCGAAAGTCTATGGTACAAGCAACTTATAGAAGATGAAAAAATAAGGAGAGAGGGTGTTTAGGGACTAGATATCCTAATTAAGCCCCCCCCCCAAAAAAAAAAAAAAAAAAAAATTCACAATTATTATGATACGTGCACTTGAAAACCTCTTTTAATTCTGTGGTTTATTTTTAAGGCTACATTACAATGATAAATACCTAGATCAACATTTAATATTAAGGTCATGATATTACTGTATTTGTTATTACAGCTTACATGTAATTTATCAATTAGACTTCTTAAATCATGATGAAAAATTTACATTTCAAGATAAAAAATAAAATTTAACTATACTTATTTTCAATAAAACTAGAAACGTTTTTTCGGCTTTCTGCTAGAAACACATGCATATGGTCCACGTATTGGAGTAATTTTTAAATAGACAGCAACTTGTTCGTTTAGTATGTTGTTAATTGTGTGGCATTACGTAGACTACAAACTTATAAATTACACTTCCCGATCACTTTTCTTTAAAAAGGAAAACTTGTTTTTGGTTGTAGAATGATAATAATATAAAGTAAAGTTCAATAGCAGTGCACAAAGTGCATTTATTATACATGTACATTAGACCGGTTGTTTAAAATCCACACATGGCTTCCGTTTTTAAATACAAGGACAACAACACAGAAAACCGAGAAAGTAAATTGCAAAACTCTAGGAAATTCAAAATTCTCTTATAATCTAAAATTCTATCTAGAATCTAGAGATAAAAAAAAATTGCAAACTCTGAAATGCCTGCATTAAGTTTAATCCTCTAATACTGGAAATGCATTATGTATGGGTACCTAATTAAACGTAACCTCCTTATAAATGACAAGACAAAACATTCAGTAGAGGAATAGAAGATGTCATTTATTTAGCAAAATAAATGACAGAATAATCAAAAGTTATATATATGTAAACACAAATAAGACAAAGGAAAACATACTTAACATAGTTCTCAAACAATAATGCAATACATGTATTTATAAAAAATGTGATGTTACTCACTGCTCAATGGCCCTGAGTGCCGAGTATAGGTCAAAATTTGTAGCTCTCCATCGGCAAGTTTTGGCGTCCCCATATGAGTGAAAAATTCTCTAGAGGGACGTTAAACAATAAACAAACGAACAAACAAACTGAAAAAAGTTATTCCACTTTGCTATTCGCCTATGATAATTAATCACTGTAAATAATGTAATTGAAAGGTTAATATAATAAGATAATTATGCTAAAATTTTTATTGTATAATACAAAAAGTACTTGCGTAGTTTTAATGGTCAGGTAGACTTGTAAATAATAGATAAATAAAAATGAGACAAAAATAACTTATTAATTGTTCTTTAAAGACCAAGAGAGACCAACCTGAGAGGGAATCAGATGGATCTATCAAAAGTGCTGAAGTTTTGTTTAGTCTGCATGATTATAGTGCAACTGGGGGCAAATAGATGTACTTTGAGTTGTTACTGAGTACTAGACTAATTATTTCGAGGATCCTTCATATCTCTCATATTCCCACCTCTGATGTTTTTAGAGGTCCGTGTTTGCTCTGCTCCCGATTTGTATTGTTTTAATGGACTTATGAATTTTCCCATTCATATGTCGACTGGATGTACCCTAGTGAGCTCAAAATCAAAGACACCACAGAGTCTGCCACATATGTTTCACATTTGGATGTTTTACTGACTATAGGCGTTAAGGACCAACTAACAACTAAATTGTATGACAAACGAGATGGCTTATTTACTAGTATGAAGTAATATTCCGCTATCACATGCATATTGTGTTTACGTCTTCTAACTTATCCGATACTCAAAAGCATGCTCTGAGTATGATCAATTTTTAAAACCGAGGCAGGCTTTTGAGAGATAAGTTGAAGTTACAGGGATTTCAATACCATCATTTAAAGTCGGCATTCCGTAAATTCCATGGTGGTTATAATGACCTCGTTAGCAAATATAACCTATCACTGGATCGAATTTTGGTTGACGTGTTTTATACCAATTGTTAGGCCTTTGTTTTTATACTAGATTTGACTACGGAATATTCCGTCCTGATCAATACATAGGGCGCACGGTGGGTGTGACCAGTCGACATGGAATGTTTACTTCTCCTATGCACTTAATCCCACCTCTGGAATTACCGGAGTCCGTGTTTTATGCCCTGTCACAGATTTGTATTGTTTTGAGATTTTTTGAGATCGATCATTGATCGTTATCTTCACCCTTTTTCATTATTCGTTAAAGCTTAAATTCTTTTCTTTTATACCTGCTATCTTAGATATAAGGCAAAAGCGAAATAGAATGGAAGGTGTAAAAAAGCAAATTTTATAATCAAATCAAAAGACACCTCTCCCACACACACAAAACATAAAAAAGAAAACAGCAAACACACACACAACCCCCGCCCCCTCCAAAAAAGGGATGGTGTAGTCTGTATGTACTTCTGTTCCAACAATCATTGTTGGTTTTTAGCTCTACTGGTCAGAGACCAGAAGAGCTTATGCGATAGTAAGGTGTCCGTCGTCCGTCCATCTGTCTATCTGTCTGTCTGTCTGTAAACAATTTTTCAAAACGCTACTCCTCCTACAGTTTTGGTCTGATTTCAATATAACTTGGCACAAAAGTAGACTACACTAAGATACATAATTCTATATATCGGTTTTCGATTTCAATGAACGGTGTTGCCATGGTTACTAAAAATAGAGATTTCTGGGAAATACTTACAAAATGCTACTCCTCTTACAGTTTTGGTCTGATATCAATATAACTTGGCACAAAAGTAGACTATACTAAGATACATAATTCTATACATCGGTTTTTGATTTCAATGAATGGTGTTGCCAT